AGTTAACATATAGATGAACTGACATTCAAGAAACAGTCACAAAGAGATAAAAGAATAACTTTCAGTGAGAAAAAACCACCAATCAGAAGACTGTGTTTGTCTGCTAACAATAATCTATAATCTATACGGACTGACACAAAAGACTTGGAGGACCTGGATTTCGCCGATGATATATGTCTGATTTCCCATAAACTGGAAGATATGCAAGTGAAAAGTAACAGGTTGGCAGAGGAAGCATCAAAGATAGGACTTCACGTGAACATAGATAAAACAGAGATGATGAAGATTCCTAGCCAACAGCAACAACAACAACAGACAACAATCAGCATAAGTGGGAAGAACCTGAAAGAAACAACCTCCTTCACCTACCTGGGAAGCATCGTCTCAACTACAGGCGGAACTGACGAGGACATCAAAGCCAGAATCGGAAAAGCAAGACAAGCTTTCATTACTCTCAAATCTGTGTGGAGGTCAACAGCACTCAGCATCAAAAATAAGATCCGGATTTTCAACTCCAATGTGAAGTCAGTGCTACTATACGGATCAGAGACTTGGCGAGTCATAAAGAGCATCTCAAACAAACTTCAAACCTTCATTAACAACTGTCTCCGCTCAATACTCAAGATCAGATGGCTGGTCAGAAAAGATCAACAACAGGGATCTCTGGCAATGAGCGAACCAATCAGGAACCGATTGTGAAACAAATAGGCAGAAAGAAATGGAGATGGATTGGCCATACGCTGAGGAAACCATCAAGTGACATCACTAGACAAGCCCTCGAGTGGAACCCGAAAGGGAAGCGGCAAGTTGGTCGTCCAAGGGTGACTTGGAGGAGGTCATGCGAGGAGGAGATGAAAGCCTGTGGACATACCTGGAGCAGGGTGAAAAAGTTGTCAGAAAACCGAAGGCAATGGAGGTGCGCAGCTGAAGCCCTATGTTCCTCTAGGAACTAAAGGATACAATAATAATAATGTACATTAAAATCTATAAATATATGTTGACTTCCTTAATAAACGATCTGTTGACTGTCTTGTTTTGTCTTCTATTGTTACACACTTACCCTCATGGTATTAAAAAGTAGAAATAAGGTCTCCCTCGAAACTCTATTCTGGAACACTCGATCAAAAATCAAGGCACCAAGGGAAGCCCACAAAACAACTTTCAGTTCATCTACAGAATACATAGGAATCTTACTAAAAGAGTACGAATGAAACTTCTTGAAATCCCAGAAGTAGTGGTAATTCACATGTTAAGTCATGAAGAAGTTTGTTCAGTCATTAAATCTACAATGTAGCTGACCTATCTTCACACCAAATATGTAACTTTTGTTAAATCTTTCTCTTTCTTAACCGTACAATGTTTTCTTCGCCCACCTCTTATTACCACCATTGTTGTTAACTTGACTTTTAGAACGATACATTTTAGACAGCAAATTTAATTAATTGATTCAAAACTTAAACTGGATTCAATAAGTAAGTTGAGTGACGTAATCTAATTGATGGAGTTGAGTAGAGCTCAACCAAAATTAAAACTGAACAAGATTCATATATGTCAGAGTTATCAAAATCAGAAGAAATGAACACCGTGGAAACCGCCTCTGTTCGACCATCGAGAAATCCAGTTGAACTAGAAAAGCTTGAAAAATCATCATCAGCCATAGTCTACACACACACACACACACACGCTATAGAATCAGACCACAAAATTGATTTTGAAAATATTGAAATCATCATCTAGAAAAAGCATTTCAGAAATCACAAAGAACGTCTCACATCACCAGAAGTACTTCATATCAGGTGGAATCCAAATTGTCTAGTGAATAGGGATGATGGACTCAAACAGAATCTGACCTGGTTACAACACCTCCCTCCCCTCCTCCATGAAGTGACAAAATCACCACGAATGTGATAAGCAAGTTCACTATGTATACACACGCATACACACACTACTTTTATAATTTTACACACTGATCAAATCCAACAATCTACACTCGGTTTTGTTTTGTTATCTTTACCAATTGGCCAACTTGACAACGCGAAAATGACCCCAGATTGACGAACGATGATCAAGTTAGTAAACTTTGTTTTGATATCATAACAGATGTACTATTACCTCTGCTATTTGGTTTAGTGATCTTCATTGTTATTTCGACTTTCAATATGTCCTTTTAACTTAACCTAACTTGTCTATTTTCTTACCCCTTAACTCTTTGTTATATTCAAGCTGAGGAGATTTTGTAAATTCCGGTTTAATAATACCACTTTGATAAAGCTATTAGAAGCAGCATTAAATAGCAAAACGTCAGTAAAAACAGCGACAATATCGTTTTGTTTTTCATTCATTCTTTGGGAAATACAAGAAGACCTTTATTATAATAAATAACACAATAGTCAATTTTTACGAGTTGATCACGGATTGATATCAGTTAGAGAACCATTGAAAACCAGGGAGTACTGGACAGCTGCTGTTTCATCCTAGTTTGGGAATCATCGGCAGTACGCACCCACTGGGTTTCGAACCCAGGACCTTCCGGTTACAAGGCAAGCTCGTATACCATTCAGCCACTGGGACCCGATTCAATGGCTCGTGAATTCTAACTTCTACCAATTCGTGATTTAGCGCGACCCCAACCATTGTCGCTAAATCACGAATTGGTAGAAGTTAGAATTCACGAGCCATTGAATCGGGTCCCAGTGGCTGAATGGTATACGAGCTTGCCTTGTAACCGGAAGGTCCTGGGTTCGAAACCCAGTGGGTGCGTACTGCCGATGATTCCCAAACTAGGATGAAACAGCAGCTGTCCAGTACTCCCTGGTTTTCAATGGTTCTCTAACTGATATCAATCCGTGATCAACTCGTAAAACATAACTAATCCTTACAAACCAAACTATAGAAAGACAATAGTCAATCTTGAAAACATGACCCCTTAATTTCCGTACTGGCAACGAATTTTCCTACAATGTACTTTCCATCGTAGTGTCCATATTTTTCCGGTCAATGAAGACAGGTGTAAGACAAGGCTGGCTGGCTGGCTGGTCGCCTCTATCTCCAATGATTTTCCTGATCACAGTAGATTGGATAATGCGACAGACAGCGGAGGGTAACGAGGAAACAGGCATAAAATGGACCCACACAAAATGCTTGGAGAACCTGGACTTCACCGATGACACATATATGTCTGATTTCCCACAAACTGGAAGATATGCAAGTGAAAAGCAACAAGTTGGCAGAATAAGCATCAAAGATAGGAGGGACTTCATGTGAACATAGAGAAAACAGAGTTAGGTGATGAAGATTCCTGGCCAACAGCAACACCAACAACAATAGATAACAATTGGCATAAATGAAAGAAATATGAGGGAAGCAACCTCCTTCACCTACCTACCGACCGACCTGAGAAGCATTGTTTCAACTACAGGCCAACGGAACTGATGAGGATATCAAAGCAGCGAGGATGCGGAAAACAGGGCAAGCTTTTATTACTCTCAAGTCTGCGTGGAGGTCAACACTCGGCACTCAGAATGAAAAATAAGATAAGGATTTTCAACTCCAATGTGGAGTCAGTACTACTTTATGGATCAGAGACTTGGCGCGTCATGAAGAGCACCTTGAACAAACTACAGACCTTCATCGACACCTGTCTTCGCTCAATACTACTCAAGATCAGATGGCCTGCCAGAAAAGACGAATAACAGGGATCTCTGGGAGCGAGCCAATACAGCAGGAACCTACTACGCAATAAATATTCACGAAGAAATGGAAGTGGATTGGCTAACCATACTCTGAGAAAACAAACCATCAAGTAACATCACACGTCAGGTCACTGCTCGAACGGAAGCCGAATAGGAAGCAGCGAGTTAGTCATCAGTTCAAGGGTGATACGGAAGAGGTCATGCGAAGCGGAGATGAAAACATATGGGCAGACGTGTGTGTGTAACCGGAAGGTCCTGGTTTCAAATCCTGGCGGTGGGTGCGTACTACCGATGATTCCCAAACTAGACTGATGAAACAACTGGCTATCATCCAGTACTCCCTGGTTGCTTTTCAATAGTTCTCTAAATGATATCAATCCGTGGTCAAACTCGTAAAATTCATGAATTCCTTGACTGGTGGGTTTGAGAACCAGTCATATAGGAAGGTATAAATGGTAGGAACAAAAGACTCGAGTCAAAATTGTTGCCAAATGGTGTTCAGATGAATTTACTCCTTGCAATCTCCAAGATCCATTAAATCCTCATGTTACTTTCCATATTACTGCCCTCTCTTTGTCTCAACCTAAAAATGAACACTTGATATCTATAAACACAAGGCTGAACTAACACACACACACACATACAGAAAAACAAACAGAAAAAGGCAAACTATATGAGATTCTGAATTCTACACCGGGAGGGAGGGGAGAATAGAACAAGTCATCACGTGCCATTCGGAAAATATCCCCATAAAGTCACAAAAATGGGGAGTCAAGAAGCACAAGAAAAAGAGCATGGAAATATGATACACCTGGGGGTAAACATAAATTGCTTAAAACATTTTCCACCTAGTTACGAAGGTGAAAATAACATTCAAGATATGAGGGGGAGGTGTCATTGGGTAGGTGGGTGGTTGGGTGCATTGGTCTTTGAGAAAAATATGTTTCTCACAAGTCTACATGCAAACCAAGGTAAAAACACGCCCACATGATATAAAGACAGTAGCGGACTGGTGGGGTGGGGGGAGGTTCATGTAAACGAAAAAATGCGCAAGGGTGGAAATGAAATGCTTACAACTGAGAAATATCATATTGCTATTTTTATTAATATCAACTTATTATTAGGGATTAGAGGTGTAGGTTTACAAGGGACTAATATTATCATCACTATTATTGGTATTATTGCCATATATTATATGTAATAGTACTAATATTACTAAGAATAGGCTGCATGCGATATGTAATATAATACAGGAAGGAGGGTATTAATTAATTCACTATATACTATACTATACTATATAATTAATACCTTCATGCGAAGATACTCGGGTCAACTTTTTTTTCAAACTGTTGACGATATATTTTGAATCTTTAAAACAAAAATGAATTAAAAAAGTGAAAATTTTAAATTATTGGAGAAAAGAAAAGTTAAAAAAAAAAGAATTTTCGAAAAACAAAAATGGAAAAAGGTTGTCAGATTTTTCTATGAAAAAGATCAGTGTGTACACTGCTGTGATGAAGTGTAAACCACCAACCTCTGATTGAACCATCCATTGGATGACGTAAATCCTAGTCCCAGTGGAGATGATGGTTGGCTCTAAGGCTATAGATAGATACGATTGAGTTTGAGTGTGTGGTTTCATAGTAGAATGATCACTAACCATTACGCCTTCCTCGTATGGTCTGGGGTTCGATTCCTGGCCAATACACACCTAGACCTGAGGTGGTAGAGCACGTTGACCGCTTCACTTCTTTGAAAAGTATCATCAGCCAACGCCAACGGCTTAATCTCTGACCAAGTCTCCGTACGGATAGAGAGGGTTAGTTTCGCATATGCCAGTTTACACCGTCCCTGGCTTAGTAGACGTGATATCCGGCTGGCTGTCGACCAAAGGGTGGTGTACTGCTCACCAGTCCGCTCCGTCCTCCTTAATGGCCAAATGTGAGACCTGGCTATTGAGAGTGGAAGACATGAAAAGACCAGCTAGCTGTCTTTGATCGTAGGTGCCTGCGTTCTATCTCCCGTGTCAAGTGGTATAATAAGGTGAGCAATATTGAGGTTACGCCTTGGTCGAGTGCTAGTTGGTAAGGAGGGGAAATCAATCGATGAGGCTGTGAAATTACATCAACTGAGATGGTTAGGATATGTGTTATGTATGCATACCTAGTCATCGCCTCTCTCGACTGACAGGAAGTGTTAATTGACATAGGATGGGTCAAGTTGGAAAAGAGCCAGCGGTGGTCAAACCAAAATACGGCACTAGTCAATGAAATCCACAACAGCTAGTTTAAGCCAGCCAGCCAGCCACGTAGAAAGGTGTAGACTTCCTGACTGGTTGGGGTCCTCGGGACGGTAAAACCAATGGTTGGAAACAATTGGTAATATGGCTGAAAATGGTTCCTAATGGCTAGCGCAGATGCATCCACTCCTTGTGACTTATGATTTCCAATGAAACCATATTGTTCTTCGTTATTACTATTCCTTTGTCTCACACTTCTGTTTACTGTCTCTATTATGCATTTCTTATACTTTCTTGTCTTGGTTTGTGTGCTACATGGATTGAGTGTGACGGCTTGAAGTGGTGTACATCGGTGGAAAGTTCTATGTCGAAAACAGACAGACAGTGGGGATGATGGTTGGCTTTACGGATATAGATACGCTTGAGTGTATGTGGTTTCATGAAAGAATGCTCACTAACCACTATGCCTTCTTCGCATGGTCCGGGTTCGATTCCTGGCTAATGCACCGCTATAGACCTCACTTAGCCTACTGTATGATTAACCCAGTAAAAGAGGGTAGATTAACTGCAAGGCAACACAACACCAGTGCTCGCTCCTGAAACTCCAAAGCTCTAACTCATTAATTTCAAATAAACAAATAGAAGATTATGTAGTCTAAGGGAGGAGGGGGAAGGGAAGCAAAGACGCCAGCTGTCCAGTCTTCCTTCATTCCACCGTAGGTACTGTAAAGCCGGGACCATTAGTCAGAAATACTTTTGAAATATTCCATAAACTACGACAGCTTATTATTATTATTGTATTTCGTATCCTTAATTCTACAAATGTACTATTCCTGCGCACCAATAAGTTTCGAGTACCTAATGTTATTCAAACACGCATATAACATCACTTTGTATGACACCGGGAGGATTCCAACCACTCTTCCATAACTCAAGTTGCAGAGACACGTCCTCCCAAATTCTAGACAATGAGACACACTTATATTATATGACGATATTCAGAAGTAGGTGAAGAGGGATTCGAACCCACAACCCCCTGGTTGAAAGGAGAGTACTAAAGCCAATGAACTATAACACCCCCCCCAAAAAAAGAAACATTATCAGGCATAGCACATCCCTCTATATAGCACACAATCTTTTTAGAATCTTACATAGAAGAATAGGGAACAAGTTGCCTCTAGTAACTCAGATTCTCTGTATTTATCTCCAAAACTGTAAAGCCTCTTATGTAATGCCTGTCATGTGAAACAATGTGTCGAACAATCCATCATCGACATCAGACTTAGCTAACACATATGATTCACTGAGTCTTGAGTTCTTCTTAAAATAAATACAGCGTTTACTGGAAATAGACTCAACAGTATGAAGATGCGTTCGTAACAATATATTTGGCAATTACACCTCAATGCAAAGCTTCCATTTGCCACTCACTCACTTTGAAGTTGCGTGCGTGTGTGTCATTTTTTACGAGGTGGACTTGCTAACTTCACGTATGGAAACCTCCCCCTAATTCCAATCTTACTATCCACCCCTTAAACTACTTGAGCTATGAAGCGCTGCTGTATCTAACTGATCTAGGCGCTTGACTTTCAATCACGCAACACCTACTGAGGTTTGAGTGTGGCCGGGTAGCATCACCACCAGCCCTTGCCTACTGCAAGAAATTTCAAGGGGTTGTCGAGCAGCATTCTTCTTCATTCAAACTAGACGACATGTCAACCTGGGACCAAGCACTTCGGTCCAATCAATCGACAGGAAAATCTAAAATTCAATTAAATTTAAGATGATCCGTTGCACAAGAGGTGGCTCTCGTGGCCCAAGTGGTCTAGTGGATAACGCTTTGGCGTTTGAAACTATAGGCACTGGGTTTGAGCCCCGGTGGGAACATCATGACTCACTGAGAAATGCAGGCATATCAAGCTGACGAGTCCTATATAGGACGAAATGCATATCCTGGACTCCACTTCTAGTCGGTATCCACCAATTAAAACTAGTCGAAGGTTTGAGAGCGTGTCGGCAAAGAATCGAACCCTGACTTTTGGCATGACTACAACAAGCATTCTACCATCGACAAACACACGCACACAGACACGCACACACTCACGCCAAATGCAATAAATAAATACTAAACATCAATCGAAAGCTAAGCACATTTCCATAAAAATCACTCCATGACATAACCAACCGTTGAAATGTCTTAATATACTGTGCTAGGGGATCCACAACCGGAAGGCACAACCTAACCTATTAAGCATCTCAGTTTTTCATATCCGTAGATATATATATATATATATATATATATATATATATATATATATATATATATATATATATATAGTATATAAACAATCTTAAAAGTATATCAGATTCTCGCTTAAAGTATTCACAAAATTCGTAAACAATTGTCATTAACTTGTGTCATTACTGTCAGTTATAAATAAAGGGGACTGTAAGACTGACACAATGCTAGCAACCTGTTTCCTGTTGATGAAATGACACGGAAAACAGAATAACATACCATCAAGACATATTGAACGTGAATGCCTTGTAATTTCAGGCATGATTTTGATATTCGCTCATAATATTTTATGTCACATAATGGAGAGAGAAAATGTGATACTCTTCCTTAACTGGGTTACGTGTAGCCACCAGTATATTTTGACTATCTCGGTGCCTATTTATCTCATTACTTATTGCTGTGGAGCTACATAAACACATAGGCCGTCGTATACACAACGTCAAGTTCGTAAATGTATTTTAGAACACTTTCCAGCTTGTGTCTAGCTAGCCAGAGGAGAAAAGAAGTATGCCGAGATTGTTATTTATTTATTTATTTATTTAAACGCAGAAAAACTTGGTACAATGAGGCACTAAGAAGATGCGCCACACTTATGTGAGGGCTGAAATACTGCCCAGACGCCCAAACCGAAGCAAGTGGTTTTCTTAAGGGACCACCCCGAGCCTTTGACTTGGAGTCTAATCCGCAAGGCAGCAGAGCAGCGTCGGGAACTACGTTCCCACGGTTGCCGGTGACCAATATAGGTTCATACACCATTTGATCTGATTGGATTCTGGAGCCCATGTACCCCATGGTAACTGCTTTTAGTCTAACCGCTATCCTAACAAATTTCCTGACATGTGGGACCTGCAGGAACATGAGTCTCAGCCAGTTTAGCTTGTTGGGTAACTGCGGTATTCAAGCCAGACCACCACAAGGTAGCAGTTGCCGGTCGGATACCAAGATAGTTCTAGCCTCATACACCTCGTCAACTCTGGACAACAGGCAACCGCCCACCTCTACATGATTTCTTTACAGTGATATCTATTATTTCCCAATGTTTCATTCAATAAAAACCTTAAATATGCCATTTAAACCTCACCTCCGAGTTCAAAAGCTCTACATACACTTACTCACTCACTCACTTACTTTACCATGGTCAAAGTAATTACGTAATTCCAACTTCATTTTTTCAGTCTTTATTTACTTACTCCAATCTAGATAAAACTGTCCATTACGTAATACACTTCCTACAACACAGTTGCTAAGATACTGAACTGGTTTTGCGGTGTTATAAACTGCCGGGTTTGATTACGAGATGAAATCGGTTAGAGAGAACCATTGGAAAAGTAACAGGAAGTAGTGGACAGCTGCTTTATTCTAGTTTAGGAATCTTCAGCAGTACGCAACCGCCAGGGTTGCAACGCAGGCCCTTCGCGGTTACAAACAAGGAGAGCTTGTAGACCGTTCAGCCGGTGGTCTAATGATCTAATGATATCAACCCCGTGACCAAACACCTGTAATCTATCTGATGCTCACTGGTAGTGATTGGCTTTGTACAGGACAATTACCAGGAGTTTTAGTAAAAAAATTGATGCCCAGCGCGGTACACTCAGTTAGTTAAAAGATCAATTACTCGACTATGAAGTTGGCTGGCGACTGCAATACCTACATATATGGCGAATTGGCAGTAAGTAATTGGCATTCATGGGCAGTTGGATCGGGTCCCAATGGCTGAATGGTGTGCAGGGGGTCATGGGTACAAATAATAATGAAGAGTGACGAACTCGGACTGATATATCGGTCATCAAACTTGAAATCAATTAAATCCCTACACAACAGGACTTGAGAGTTTCTTTCGTCGTCATATAATATATAGCGCGACCATTTCGCAATGTCTTCTTCGATGAGTTACTGCCTCATCTTCAACCTGCTGTACCCTACTGGTTACGGCTTCTCACTAGAATCCCAGGTTAACTGCCTGAATAGGTCGCGCTATGTCGTGAATTGGCAGACGCTAGAACTCAAGAACTATTGAATCGGTTCCCAATGGCTCAATCGTCTACGAGCTGGCTAGCCTTGTAACGAGAAGGTCTTGGGTTCGAACCCCAATGGGGTGGGTGCATCCTACTGAAGAGTCCCAAAATAGGCTGACGAAACAGCTGGCTGTCCAGTACTCCCAGTTGGTTTTCCAATGGTTCTCTAACTGATGTCAACTCATGATAAAATCCTCCATGCGCAATCAGATATTATAAAAGTCAAGAATGTAGTAGTTTTTAAGTTGAGTGAGCAATCCCTTCTTTCTCATAAAATTAATACACACTTAAGGGTAAGCTAAATCTCGACTATATATGCATAATCACTAAGACATGCGCACAAATTCAACATATCTGGACAGTCAATCTATCAGTGTTATACGTGTTAAAAATAAATACTTACTTCAAATCAAGTGAATGTGTATTTATCGAGTATGCAAAAGAAAAATAAATTAGAAAAGATCTTGAAGTCTGTAATCTTCGGTGTTATATTTTTAAACGAGTGTCCAGTAAGAGTAAGAATCAAGGTAACTCTAAAGTGTTGACACTAAGAATAAATATGCTTGAATTCTGCTACGCGTATAATCATTCCCATACACATATATACATATGTGGTGAGAGCTGGATGTTAACCAAAATCAGTAGACAGTAATTTACGTCAATGTTTATGTCCCCAATAATATGAACAAAGGCTTTGCGTAGGCGGATACAGTTAGCCTGTAGATGATCTGACATTCAAGAAACAGTCACATACAGATGCAAGGTTAACTTTCTGTGAGAAACAACCAATCAGAGGACTGTGTTTGTCTGCCTACAATAATCTATAATAATGTACATGAAAACCTATAAATATGTGTTGATTTCCTTAATAAACGATCTGTTACCTGACCCTTGTCTTCTGTCGTCACATTTGGTGTGGCTGCCTACCGACAAGTGGAAAGCCTACGCCCTGCAGTTTTTGATGGAGACATATGGATCTTCGGGCAGGACTTCGAGGCTTCTTCGCAGTTGAGTGGCGTTCAAGATCTGTCAGCGATGGGGCTGTTACGTGGGATACTGCTGGGAGGTCGGGAAAAAGCAGCATATGAAAGGGTGAGGCGAAATACCAACGAATGTGCAACAGGGTAAAGCAAGCAGTTTTCAAAGTGGGAAGGACCATATATGGTCACGTTGAGATAGGGTGACGCAGACACAATCGCAGTGATAAACAAAGAGAAACAGGTGAATATCAGCGAGCACCGAGATTCCAGACACCAAGACAAACGAACAAAGCCTCTAGAACCAAGAAAACCGAGCCGACTTCAGTCGCAAGTCTTTGAAGGGGGAACGAGTGTGGTGAGAGCTGATGGCTAGCCAAATTGGTAGACAGTAATTTACGTCAATGTTTATGTCCCCAATATTGGTCGTGAGAAAAATATAAACAAAGACTGATTCAACAACCAACCAGAGCAGGCTTTGTTTGCGTAGGCGGATATAGTTAGCATATAGAAGATGATATGACATTCAAAAAACAGCCACAAAGAGATAAAAGATTAACTTTGTGTGAGAAAAAACCAATCAGAAGGCTGTGTTTGTCTGCTAACAATAATCTATAATAATAATGTACATGAAAATCTACAAATATGTGTTGATTTCGTAAATGAAAGATTTGTTGCCTGACCCTTGTCTTCTGTTGTTACAATGGTAGCTGAAGCTGTCAGATTCCACCGGAAGACGCCAAAACTTATCTGTTTGTACAACCTCATTCCTTTACCTAGGTCAGTATTCATTGATTGCAAACAATCTGACAATTTCCATCTGCATATCATACACTAGCTCGTCGAGTGGGAGTCGAATGGAAAGGCGACGAGTTCAGCATAGGTTCGAGAGTGACATTAGAGGAGAGCTTGCAGATAGTCAATCACGGCAGCCATCTAGGAGAGTCAGTAAAGAACATTGATGCAGTGGAAATGTGCTGCTGTAGCTCTCTGCGCTCTACGCCCGGAATCCAACCGACGAAGAATAAACAACATCAGCAGAACCCCCCCCCCTCCGCGCTCAATAAGGCGCACAGACAGTCTGTATCATAACAAAACACGAGTCAACTGCTCCATTAGCCTCAAGGTAACAGAGAAAACCATCAAAAAAGATTATTAGTGATGTTAGTAGTAGATACTTGATACTTGAACCAACATAACTAGTTAATGGTACAAGGGTGATGAAATATTTTGTTAATTGAATGGTAAAAACAACCCTGTCAAATATTACTTACCGAATACAGGAGTGTGTATAGTCTTGTAACGTTTCTCTTCATAATCCAACAATTTCACTGAACCTGAATCCAATATACTTAAATAACGTGCTGTAGTGCGATAAAATGATTGATGCGATGCTGTGATGTACTTATGACGTAATAACAGGGCTTTGATTAAAGCCTCTGATGCGAAATGCAGATCATCCACGGGTACCTTTTTAAGAAATGAATGTTTGTAAGGAAAGAAATCATGTTTGATATAATGGAAATATAGTGCGCGTAATATGCAAAAAGATGTGACTAAAGATAACTGGCGTGTTTCTAGGCTACTTTGATTGGACACTAGGCAGTACCTAAAATGACATGTGCCAAATCCTTGCAACGTCGAGTTGCAGATTGAATTCTATCAGTCAAGTTTGAAATATGGATACCAATGCTGCGTGGTTAGACATGACGGCACACTCTGAATTGTTGTTACTGATAGCTGCTATCTTTACGTGGTGGTCGGGCTTGCATATCGCAATGAGCCAACAAGCTACACTGGCTGGAACCAATGTTCCTGCAGGTCCTACCATGCCAGGAAGGTTGTTAAGATAGCAATTAGGCTAAAAGCACTTACCAGAATTGTGTAAGAATCTTTCTTATAATATGCTGTGGGTCTGAGGGCGAAGTCGTACTGCTACTGAGGAACAGGGGTGTAACAGCAGTGGGGTGTTTCTCTCAGATGACCAGCATGCCAACCAGCTAGGCTGTCTCTCCACTCCAGAGAGAGGGGGTTGGAAAAGGTCGGCCCCAAAAATTGTACATCCCTACTTACCCCAACTACGGGGTGGTCCGTAACCGGCGGTAAGTTTACTAATACGGAACCAATCCAAGAAACCAGTTCATACAGGCCGTGTGACTGGCTGGACTCAAGCAGTTGTCCCCCAGGCTCTGTGTTCACGCAACACTAACCCTCTTTCTGTTTCAAATACCTGAAGAATCAATCAACTTACACGGTGTGGGCAGCCGGGAAGTAACAACCGCCCACACACTTCAAAAAGCACACGAAGCCTCCCTGACCGACAGACAGACTAGATGGTTAGAGGTAATCAGTAGGAAGCCTTAGACCAGACGCGTTATACTTACTAGTGTTCAATCAAAGTATCCAATACGGTACAGTACAGTCTTACAGGAGGTCAATCGGGTGCCCGAATACCTCAGTGGTAACGTCTCTGACTGCAACACCGTGTGACACGAGATCGAGCCTTAGAAGCGATATATGTTCCCAACAAGATTGTTGATACGTCCTGCTGACTAGTGAGCGCAAACAAGCACAAAAGCCAGGTGAAGTGGCGGCTTTCTACCGATTGCCGCCCCCAAACATCTCACAACAATGCTGCTTAGTTATTAGAACATATATACGATCCGAAATGAATTAGAATTAGGAAATTAAATTATCCCCATATATCTGAATAGTTTAGAAACATGGTGAATGCTGTTCATCAAACACATGTGCATTACTCAGTAGTCCCAAAGTTTTACTCTGTGTTAGTACACATCCTATTCATGTAGAAATTACAACAGTATAAAGCCACGTAGTTCAGGTCCGATTTGAGGCTGACGTGCACACATAGACCTCGCCCAAATGGCAGTTAGACGGGAGGTTGTGGTTGAGGGTGAGACTAGCAACTCCACAGCTACTGAAACTTTAAAGCGTAAAAGCTTGAAACCCTATATATATATATATATATATATATATATATATATATATATATATATATATATATATATATATAGGGTTATCAATCTTATTATCCCTTCTACCTTGTACTTTTATGTTTATAGGAGTTTCATTAAGACCCTCACCCCCTCCCTTCCCCTAACTAACTTTTATGTATATTTTTTTAAAAACTACGGCAAATTGAACTGATGCACTTTAGTGCAAAGTTCTACGCTAACATAATTTAACTTTGTTCAGTCCAATTTTTCATAAAAGTTTAGTGTCTAAAGGTACACACGCGCACACACATTTGTATAAACATTGAAACCTGTAAGCTACAATTTGTGATCGGATACGACTGGCCCTATTCAGGCAGTAAGTAACCTAGGGTTCTAGTGAGAAGCCGTGACCAGTAGGTTACAGAAAGTCGAAGGTGAGGGCAGTTACTACTCATCGTAGAAGACATTGAGAAGTGGTCGCGGTACATCATGAATTGGGTCGAAGAATTTATTTATTTTTATTTTTGATTACAGCTTGATTCCATACCGTATCTTTGGTACAAGTATGGAATTTTCAGCATGGATATCGGTAGCCGAAATTTTGCAGGCCCACCCATAGGTATCAAGTGTGCGTCAGTGGCAGGGGATCGAACCTCGAACCATTTGCATGGTCGGCGAGAGTCCTAATCACTGTTCCACCGACGCACAATTCATGGGCTAATCACTGAGTCAGGTCCCATTAATAATGGCCTAATGGTCAACGAGCTGGCTCACCTTTTAACCAGAAGGTTCTGGGTTCGACCCCTGTTAACCGATGTCAACTCATAATGAAATCCTGTATCCATACAATTTGTGGGTTATACAAAAACAGCACATTGGAAGATATTTTTGACCCTCCGCCCCCCTACGAAAAATTATAAATTTTAAGCTTATCTAAGCAATCAATAATAGTGAGCACTCGTCAGTAAATGCTAAACTGGCATATACAATTATATATATATATATATATATATATATATATATATATATATGGGTGTACATCCCCCAAAAATAGCCTATGAGGAGAAGCAAATCCAACCCTCTCTAGGCTTCTCAAATCAGTGGGAAATTCTGTGGTCAAACAGTGAGATTAAATATCGACATTTCTTATCGGTAAACATTATTATTACTATTATTGTTATTAGTAGTATTAGTAGTGTAGTGAGTGCTACTTATAATCAGGTATAAGTAGTGTATCAGTAAACAAATTCAGAAAAGCAACAACTGGATAAAGCAATCGAAGAAGAAGAGAACAGTGAGAAGAACGTTACAGACACTGTGCAGAATCCAACAAGCTATCAAATGTGGTGGTATTCGACTAATGTGCAAATGATGTGCAAATAAAGCCTTAAAGATTAGGTATACCAAATCTATGATTTTATTTAATTGAATTTTAGATCTTCCTGTCGATTGATTAGACCGAAGTGCTCAGTCTCAGGTTGACATATCGGCTTCTTGTGCAGATGCCTCGATGATGCCTGGGCATTTAATTAGAATTTCATTTGTGGATGGTGACTAGCAGTGGAATCCAGGATGTGCATTTTGTGGCCCAAGTGGTCTAGTGGATAACGCTTCGGCGTTTGAAACTATGGTCACTGGAACCCAGTGACCACGGTGGGGACAGTATCACTCACTGGGAAATGCAGGTACATCCAGTAGCTGACGAGTCCCAAATAAGACGAAATGCGCTTTATCCTGGATTCCACTGCTAGTCACCATCCATAAATTAAATTTATGTGTGCATCTACAGTGCATTTGTCTTAATGCACATGGCCTTCAAGCCTCATAAGTCTTTTTTTCTTTACGATAGTAGTAATTGTATCTTCGCAGATTCCGAGTGAAACAGAAGACTTCAATAGCACACTTCCACTTCATCCTATTTTCCGTAGTCTTTTTTGAGTGTCTCCATGATTTTCCATAGGCCTTGATCTCTCCCTCACTCACTCAGTCGTCTACATGTCACCATTGAATACACCCCCCTCAACCCGTCGTTTACCATTTGAGTTCCACTAGACCGATGACCTGGCACGTGATGTCACCCTGTGTGTGTGTGTACACCCAATCCATCTTCATTTTCTTCGGCATATTTGTTGGACGATCGCTTCTTCGTTGGTTGGTTGGTTGATTCTCAGAGCTCCTTGTTAGCAATCCTTTCTAGTCAAACCTTTTCGAAATGCTTTTGGTGACGCGCTAAGTCTCTGAATCATACAGAAGAATTGACTAACTTGACATTCGTGTTGAAAATACCAATCTTGAGTTACTGCGAAAGGCTTCCACCACAATGATTCCAGATTAACAAATGTCTGTCTTGCCTTTTTCCGATGATGAACACCTTAGATATTATCATCCTTTGACATCGCCTGTAGTCCAGAGAGATAAGTGAGAGAAGTAAGACTTCTTGTTTCATATTTCTCCCGTTGATAATGACTGGCGCTTATTGTTGTTGTTGTTGCTGTTATTATTATTATTGGGTAGATATCTTCACCACTTTTCTCTCTTAACTACGTTCATCACTTGAAGTCTTCCCGATCTTTACCGCTTCTTCTGTCAACTTATTGGTTTCCGCTTACAGATGTTCCAGTAACAATGATAAGTTATTATCGTCTCTGCATCAGTGGCTTAACCGCAGAATACTCACCAACCAGGCAAATGGTCCAAGTCGGCTGCTCCGCCGACGCTGGTAGTGACTATGACAAAACAGGAAGAGGTTAGAAGAGAGGCTACCAACCACACCCTATTGAAAATAACATTACTGCTACAGAAACTTCAAATAATAAGCTTGAAGCCGTATGTTCCACACGGAACACAAAAGAATAAAGTTTTTAAAACAAAATGGAGCGGAGTAACTGAGAATATCCGGGGCTTGTAACTCAGTGGATGGACACTGCCAATGAATCTTAAAACTACAACCCAACAGGTACATGTCCAGTATTCCCTGGTTTTCAATGGTTCCCCTAACTGATATCAATCCATGACCAAACTTGGAATAAATCAAACCCCTACAAACTAACGCTTCAAAATATTAATTTGATGCTCGCTAATAACTGGCTGACTGGCTACAAGACGAAGTTGCCTAGATTTTTCTAGTGAGAAGTCATAACCGGCAGTAGGTTCCACCTTCTCGGGAGTGAGGACAAATACTCGCCGCCAATGACGTTGGCTGGTTACAGTTGTGCTAAAATCACGAACTGGTAGAAGTTACAATTCATGGACTGACCCCTGAGTCGGATGGATCCCAGTGGCTGAAAAGTTTATGAGTTTGCCTTGTAACCGGATGTAGGTGAAAACTCTACATAGCAGAGAACCGAACGCAACGGAGACGCAAAGCTGAGACTCTATATTCCTCTAGGAATAAAGGAAATAACAATAATAGTCTTAGTTGCAACCATACAATACTACTGAAATTTGATTGATTAAGTACCACGACGTGCTTTTGTACCCCAAATACAGGAAAAAGTAAGTATTTAATGAAAG